GGGTTTGAAATTAACTTTTTCACTCACCAGCCAATTTGGCTACTACATTTTTAAGTTAGCCATAATTCATCATTTCTACTAGCCAAAAAAATTAAACAATTAAATTATGAAAAAAAGGCCGGAGGTAATCCAACAGCTTGAGGCTGTCCACACTGGATGAGACAAAGTGACCATTGCAAATCATTTGTACTTTGTCAAACAGTAGGCCTACATCATAAATAGAACGAGGCATCAGTTTACTGTCGGGGATTTGTCGTGCTGTGCTGCGCCGCATCCAGTGTAGGCCACATCACCGATTATAATGGGTTCTACCCTTTGGAGTGGTAGAGATCGAGGTTTACCTGCTCACAAATGTTGCTTTATCAGACATTACATGCAAGATGAAATGAAAATGACATGCAATTTTCTGAAGACAGCCGGTTTCCTTCAGAAATACAGTGATATAAAAACACCCGCACTCAATGTATGGGGAACACTGTAGTCTCATAATTGAAGTGTAAATTCTGCAGATTACATCATTGTCCAGTATTGTACTGTCAGCAATTTATTCTAAAAATGTTTTCATAATTTTAACATACATATTTACATACATAATTATTCAGGTGCATGTGTAATAACTTGCGAAAACTTGAGGCTACAGCAGCACTTCTTCTTCGTCGTCCTCTTGTCTGATGCACTCAACCAAGCTAACCACGACCTCGCCCCTCCCCACCCCCCAACCATTCGAATTTCCGTAGGCGGGAATTATTTTAATGATATTCTAATAGGCCGCTTTGTGACATCACAAACCCCGTAAAACAACGCTGTAGTCCAAACGAGCCGTTCGTTGTAGTTCTTGAAAAGGGATTTTTTTATTTGTAAGTTTGAAGATCTTTTTTATGCCCAAACATACACACTACACACTGACTAAAATTCAAAAAGTGAAAAAGCATAATAGGACCCCTTTAAACCGCATAAACACATTTCATTACACCAAATACACCAAATAATGTTTTTTTTTAGCAACATCATATGACATCAAAATTTTATTAAATTACAATTTAGTTAAACTATAGACTATTGTTAATCTCAATTATTTGTAGCCAATTAATTTTTAATCAGCAACACTCCCTTTCTGGAATCTTGCATATTTAATGAAAGTTACTGTATTTACTGGCTTTACAGGAGCTGAAAAATATAACTTTACACATGTAAGGTTAATAATGTAACATGTAAGGTTAATAAGTGATTTTCTCTTGTGACATCTCTCGGACATGGTAGTGTTAATGAATTTGGTCTTGGTAGAATAGATCTGCTACACTGTTGCTGTTGATTGCTGCTACTACAGCTACTGCAGCAGAGCAAGTACAGAGACTTGCTACTGCCAATACATCCACAGACATACTGTAACATACATGAAATTACCTCACAAAAAGCAGGAGACACAAGAAATGGACAATACAAGCCAATAAATGCATGTTGCTGAGTGTAAGAAAACAAGCTCCTGCATCAGCAGATATGCATGTATCCGCACACATGAACGTAAGCATGACAGGACAGGTCAAAACACACCCCAAACAAGCAGATCTACCACCAAGACATGTGTACTGCTGCTGCGCCAAAGAGCCAAGACAACCACATGTTTAACTATCTATGTGTGCCTCTCAATGTGTGCCATAACAGGGGCTGACCCCTTACAAAAATTAGCCATGGTTTAACTACAAATATTACCAAAAAAAAACAAAACATGGTTAATATTTCAACAATGGTAACCACAAATTAACCATGGTTTCTATGTACTTTAGCTTTTATCTCAGCGCAAACCCTGTCCTATAGACTTTCATTTTAAGTGTGTTACTGTAAATGGTAATTGATTGAGCTTAACTTGTTTTTAACCCAAATCCTGTAATGTTAATTAAATGAGTATCACCTCAATTCTCTCCACTCTCAGAGCTTGTGAATCGAGAGCAATCAAAACCACTTTGACCTCTGTGGTCTCCCATAAGTCCCTTTTATCCCACTGGCCTCATTCAATCTGAAGACAACAACTTTTCCCAGGCTGCGTGTGTATGTGTTTGCATGCCTAGACCCCTGCAGCTACCCTGGCTCTGCCCAGGTTTTGTTTAAAAAAAAAAAAAAAAAAAAAATCTTCCAAAAAACAAAAAAAAAAAGTTTTTATATACAGAAAAGTGTATTTCCTCCTCATCATATGATAAACTGCCTGGCTCTGAATGGCTAATTGTGAGATTTTGAATGGGCCATCCCCGGAGGATTAGTTTGATGTGGAAAGTACCCATGGTTCCTCACTTTGAGCTTTAAAATCTCTGTATTCATGTTTTTTCCCCCTTTGACCGCAAGGGGTTGGAGAAGACCGACATCTCAGCAAATCCAAAGAACCAAGCAGAAGACACTACTCACAGTGCAAAGCCACAAAAAGAGCATATAAGTGGGAAGAGGACAGTTTCCACCAGGTAACAGTCAGCTAGTTTAAGTTGTCTAAGGTTGAAGGGTTAGTTCAGCCAAAAATTAAAATTCTGTCGTTTATCCATCCTCACATTGTTCCAAACCTGTATGACTTACTTTCTTCTGTGACACATGAAGGTATTTTAGAAATGTTTGTGTTTTTGTCCATACAGTGAAAGTCAATGGGGTCCAGTATTGTTTTTGTTCTCCTTTGACTTTTAGTGTGTGTGGACAAAAAAAAAAAATTTTGTATTCCACTGAAGAAAAAATGCATATAGGTTTGGAATGATATCTCTTTCATTTGGATGTAGTCCCTTCTGAGGTAATTAACACAAGGCTTATTTGTTGGAGTTTATAATCCTCTGTGTTGGTATAGTTTTGATGTGTTTCCTGCCAGGATGGCAGTGAGTCATAGCAGATGAATGCAAAATGCCTGTTTGTCAGATAAGCATCTCTGTGACGCCTGCTGATTCTGTTTCTGTGTGTGTGTGTGTGTGTTGACTTGATGTCTGTCTTCATACTTTAATGATAAGCTTTCCAGAAGGTAAACCAGTAGCTCAACCGTGACATGTGTCTGAGGTTATTATGTACGTGTGGGTGGCACGCTTGCATGTTTCTAGAATGTAGTGAGGCTGATATATTAAAGATCGGAGGTCTGCTTCTTATTGCAATAAAGAACAGACCTCTGCTACCTATCACTGGATATCTGCATCATGACCTAGCACTCCATATTACTGACTTCCTTGAGCCCTGTCTGGACTGAATGAATGCCTCTTGGAGTTACAAACCAAGGGCTTCTGGGAGGGAGAATTTGAGCAAAGCTGCTGTTCTAAAGGTTGGTTGTAGGGATTTGATAGAGTGTTACTTTACAAAAGACAGAGGTCTGCTATAAAAAAGGCTTGTTGTAGGAACTTCAGACTCAAGGCTTTTGGATCCCATCTCATCTGGCTCCATTCTCGCAGCAGGGGACTGGTATAAGGTGTGTGTGGTGTAGATCTACAATATCCAGGTCCTATGCACTTTTTTTGGCTGCATGGGCTTTCTGTGTTTGTGTGTATGTGGTAGATGTTTCTGGTTCATTGGCACACAGATTGCCGCAAGCTGCAGTTTTCAGATATTAACAGTTCGCTTTTATCTTCCTGGGTCAAATGTTTTGAATTCACTCAGATTACTTTAAAGTGAGGGTGTAAAACCAGGGCCTCAACTCAAATTACACTAGCCAGGCATGGGTCTGAATGCATTTTTACAAACATGAATGTTAGCTAGAAACAGTTATTGCCACGGTTATTGATGCATGTTCAGCCAGTGACTTAAATACATAAGGGCTAAAACTGCATGTTGTCAATATGATTTGTGCATTTTGTTAGCTAGTGTGAGATAATATTGTAGATTATATGTTCTGTTTGTGTATGTGTGTGAGTTGAGTGTTGAATTTGGTGTTGTCTAGTCTTGTCTGTGGAATTTGGACCGAATGCTCTTTTTTGCTTTCAGTGTTTGGCGGCGTTCATCACTATGACTCAGCTTAATATGTGTAAATATTCACAATGAATAACTTTATGGAAAACAGGCTGATTCCTCATACAGCATTACATATCAGAGTGGCCGTTTTCACTTGTTTATTTGACACAAAGCATTTGTTCATCACACATACTAAGCTTTTTAAATGGTAAAAAGAAACATAAAATGATATACAAATAAATTGAACTGTAAAATGTGATTCATATAAAAAATGTATCTCCTCTATGCAGCCATTCCTCATCAGATGAAGGTGAGAAAAGTTCTGATGAAAGAAAGGATTTCAGAGAGGGTGAGGAGAAGATATCCTGCTTTCAGTCCTTCACTGCAGGAGAGGAGGATGTGAGAAACAAGGAAGATGAGAATGTGATAGAAAAAACGGTAAGCACAACGGCTGCACACCCTAAATTGAAGATGGGTCAGGTTAGTTTACTCTTACTGTTTTTATTTTCCCTGACATCTTCTTGTAATGTCCTCATGTGATCTGCAGTGGCTCCAGACATCCTCTCACACACCCCTCATGTGTCTCCACTCTCCTGCCCCTCTCTCTCTGGGTCACTGTGTCTCATTGTTCCTTCCTTCCTACAGACCACCAACCATGTTTTTCATTCCTTCACTCACACTGTGACCAGTTGCAGCTCTTTATCTCCCTTTATTTCTCCTACTGGGAGACAAAGTTTGGGCACATGTGTTAAGAAAAAAACTGAAGGATGTGGGGGTCAGCACTTGTTTTACCACAAAATATAAGCCACAGACTGCTTTGTTTCAGTTTTCTTTAATTTGCTGGCAAGACTTTTCATAAGCAGTGATGCATCTCTCAGGGCAAAATATATGGAAATTAGTTGAACTTAGTTGAAATTCTGTTTATTTTGAACCGATAATGCTGTTTAATTTGAAATGCATTTCTATTTTAATGCTCATTCTCGCAATTCATGAGTCTTTAAATAGAATGAGTTTTTAGGAAACAGAACATCTAAGACAAAACGTCTATCTACAAATTTGCACTTAAGGGGTATAAGATGGTGTGAAACCGTATCCACTCAAGATCTCAAACTACTTCTCCAGCTCATCCTCAATGTATTTTTTTTGACATTGTGTATTCTAGGTTACGCAGAATGAGCAGAAAGTGAGAAAGAGGCAGTGTTTTGAGGGCACAGAGGAGTCAAAAGCTGCCACACCAGTTCTGCAGAGACAGGACTCAGGTCAGCTCAGCATCAAAGGAATCCTGAAGAAGAGCCACTCAACTAGTCTGGACACAGAACCCACTGAACTGGAGCAGATCACAACTCCTGCCATCAAAACCTGCAAGGAGCTGACTGTTGTTGATGGAAAGAATGGCAAGAATGAAGAGGTTGAGGATGATGATGAGGATAGAGAGAACAAGAGGCTTCAGAGAGAGGAAAGCAGCTCGAGTGAGACTCCTCGCACTCCTTCCCCAGATTCTGTGGACAAAACCCCCTCCATCTCCCAATCTGTAGAAGGGGAGGAGCTAGACAGCAGCCTGGATGGGAGCACGAGCTCCTCCCTAAAAGAGAGGTATGGTGGGAGTAGTCTTTATAATGTTCTTGAGTTTGATTGACAGCTGTGGTAGCTATTTTTTTGGGATGAGTGTGTGGGAGAGTGGGAAAAGGAGTTTTTATGCTTAAAAGCTTTCCTGTAACTCAAACAGTAGAGATGTTTGAGCTAGCAATGCCAAGGCCATGGGTTTGCATTTTATCGGTTCATTCATTCTCTGAGAATCAATGTAAGTTGCTTTGGATGAAAGTGTCTGGCAAATGTATTATGTTATGGCTGATGCCAATTCTTTGTTAAAAGTCTTATAATTGGTTTGTTACGGCTTTTGACAGCAATTAATCATTTGACTGTGTGACAGACTACAATAATAAAAACATGTATTATGAACGTAATGATAAGAATGATGATTTATGCACTTTTGTTTTGTGTTTGCAAATTTATTTTAAATAATTGAATGAAAATTATTTTTTTCATTTTCATGTATGTTTTAATTGTTTAAAATACTATGCTTAGAAAAGTGTGATGTTGGTCTGAAGATATTTTAAGTAGAAAGTATGAATATCAATAAAAAAAATCAGTTAAATAGATTATCAGTCTATCTAAACTGGGTTTGAACCCGCATCTCCTGCATGTGCACCAAGGCACTATATGCACTAAACCACAGCTCTGACACTACTTCCGTTTTTAACCTTAATTTAAAAAAAAATACCCAGCTTTGAATGAACCCACGGAAATCCATTAATGGGATGTTTGTTATACCACTGACACAGTCTAAACACAGAAGCTGCTTATAGAAACTATGGATCCAAGGCACTTCTTCCAGTTCCAAAATGTTAAAAAGCCTTTATTCAAACATGGCTCACTCTAGAAACATTAAAAATGATTAGAACACTGCACACTGATGCATTTCGACCATCCAGCCTTCCTCAGAGTGTGTCAAGTACAAAATTAGTCACAGGTGTAGATATAATCAGTTGCTCAATAGAAATGGGAGAAACCAAAATACTCATTACATGGGGGACCAATAGTATCATTAACAATTTCAAAGTATAATCACATATACAAAAAAAAAATATATATATATATATATCTACAATGTTCTTCCGCAAAACGCACGCAGTTCTGTTTATTAACCGCTAGAGCACCAAAAGTTACGGACTGCAGCTTTAAGTAGAAAGTTCACTCTCTACGGCTGTAATGTGTCTGTAATATTTAGCCTCTTTGTTTGGCAGGCTGGCAGAGTTGGAGAGTGGTGATGACGACTGGCGGGGCAAGCTGAAGAATAAACTCACCAATGTGGTCCAGTCGTCCCTGGCTGACCGTTACGTCCAGCTGCAGGAAAGTGAGAATGACTGGAGGAAGAAGGTACCCACACACTCTCTGAAACAGCTTCCACTTCCACTGTCGGTAGCTGAGGAAAATGGGCTGAATTAACCTATTGAAACTCTTCACAGTACTCAACACTTTTGTTGTTATGTGCAGTTTGGGGTTCATGCAGTGTCTGCGTTTGTTGGCTGTAAGGTGGAGCCAGCATGAAACAATAGACTGCAGAAGAAGCTCTCTCGATGTGAGGAGGGGTTAGTGGGATGGTAAATCCACAGGGAAGGGTGGGGGAGGAAGAGTTAGTTTCCAGTGCTGAATCAGCAAGTTCTTCTGCTGGGCTGTCCTACTGAGAAGGGGGTGTGAGCACAGGAGGAGGATTTCCACTCAGCTTTACCAGTTCCTGGAATCTGATCAGCATATCCAGTTACATGTATTTCTAGATCAAGTCACCTTTATTTGTATAGCGCTTTATACAATACAGGTTGTGTCAAAGCAGCTTTACAGTGTCAAACAGGAAAATAGTTTGTCAATAATGCAAGAAGACATTCCGACGGTCGAAAAAAAAGAAAAAAGATAATTAGTTGATATCTGGTGGGGGGAATTCAATATAATAGCAGTATATCATGACTTTAACACAAGAGTATCAGCAAAAAAAGGCTGTTGATCTTTTTCAATTTTTGTGTGGTCAAAATCAACCTTATCCCAAATGGCACACTTCATGCACACTTTCAGGCTTATAGACTAAAAAACGGCTGCTGCATGTTCATGTTGGTCCACAAGACCGTCCTAAATGCAGCCTTGATGAGCATAAGAGCCTTCTTTAAAAAACATTACAGGTCTTACTGATCACAAAATTTTGAGCGGTAGTGTATGTATGTATATATATATATATATATATATATACATACACACCTGTACTTTTATATAAAAATAAAGAAGCAAATTACAAACCATAATACAAATACAATAGATACACATTAAATATTAAATACACTCGTTTTTCTAATACAGTAGGTTTAACATGTATACATGTATTTAACATCTTTTGTTGTTTGATTAACATTAATGAGACAGACAGGTATTTAATTAGGCTGCTGTCCCTTTAAGACCGTATGAATGTAATATTCTTACACACTCGGTTTTCACCCACCTGTTTACATTCACTTAAGCCATAACCGACTGTATTTACGTGAGATACTCCACACGATGGACATGTTGACAGCAGTGTGTGTATTTGACAATTAAGGTGCAAGGAGAACTGATCGCAGAACTGGGATCGCCCGGGCGCGCAGCTGATGCCGAGTTCACACTGCACGATTTTCAAACTCATTGGATCGCAGTTGTTTTCACACTGCGTGACTATCTGGGGTAGCATTCAGTTGCTGCTGTGTTCACATTGCACGATGGATCGGCGACGGGGGGTTTCACATTACATGACTTCACAATAGGAAGAATTGCCGACAGCTCTGTCTGGTGCAGGGTTGCCAGGTTTTTGCTTCAAAACCCGCCCAATTACTACTCAAAACTTGCCTGAAAATAGCCCAATTGCTTTCGAGGGGGTCCTCCAGTAAATATCACGTCGCTTCAACCTGCTGACATAAAAAACAACCGGCGGCAATCGCGGATTTGGCAACACTGGCAACACTGGTACGTTTCATATAACTCCTCCCCGAACTTCCCGCTGCCCTGTATCTTGGTCTCTCATTGGCTGTAGGTCATCGCCCATGTGTTTTTCAGTCAGAACTCATTTCACACAGCGTGATTGTGAATCGCCGACAGCTCCAGATATTTAGCATGCCAAATATTTCACAGGCGTCGGCGACGTGTTGGCGATTCTCTCAGATCGCGTCTTTGATAATTCACACTGAGTGATTGTCACTCGCGTGAACGAGCACCGATTTGCCTCCGATGTCAGGCATTTGTCGGCGATTTCGCAAAACCTGTCGGCGAGTGAAAAATCGGACTAAAATCGTGCAGTGTGAACTCGGCATAACT